ATTCCTGCGGGGCGGATAGCGTGCGCGCCGCGGTTTTTTTTTCCTTCTTTCTGGTCGTTTGAGAGAGAGAAAAAAACGAGGATTGACCGATGCCAGATAGCGAGAATTAGTCGTGCGTCTCATACGTCTGGAAAGGCAACTGTTTCCCATCAACAAATCAAGGTTGGGGCTACAAAATAAATATGAAGTACTGGACGTTTGTACTTGACGTACACGTGGGGTGTTTATCAATCTACTGCTGGATGAGGGTCTCTCCACACCGGCCAGGTCGTCAGGGTTATTCGACTTCACTACTCGGATCGGTGTGGGTTGTGAAGGGAGGGAGCGTAGGGACAGGATCATAGAAGTACAGGACAAAAATAGTTTTTTCTCCGCCGCAGTCTGCTGCCCCATCATATTGCTCTGCAGACGCCTATAATGCCTGTCATGTGGCCAGGAATTGAACTCGACGGGTTAACTACTGCACCCCACTCGAGCGATTACACCTATTAAGTTCACATTGTGAACAAATGATAGGTCAACGAAGTGGCTTAACATCACGTGCAGATTTATAGCAGTCGAATACTCTGAACGCACGTTGAGAAGTTTGTCATTCTGCCCTTCGCTGATCACTACATTTCTCCAGAGCAGCTGGTCATACCTGCTATGCGTGGTGGTAACGCATCCATACACTATCCAGGCTCAATCCTGCTCACATTCCTGATGAGTTTGTCACATACGTTATGTAAATATTAATTATCTAAGAGAAGGCCTCTTTCTAAGAGAAAGCTGCAAACCAGGCATATCACAGATGAATGCTCAATACAACTCGCATATACTGGTGGAGCAAGCATATAACTCCACTCAGCCATCACCCCAGATGCTGTGGAATGACTTACGAAATTAAACATACAATTGTAGCCTCTTACTTTCTTCAAACTCTGTACGAAAGACGAATATGAAACATGTTATAATCACCAATGTGGTAATGCTGGTGTTGATGACATGCAGCAATCATCTGATATTCATGGACACCATCACATAACCATACTGGTGCACGAATGCTGGGTTGTCGACTGTTCATTCAGCAGAATAATTCGTTTATCAATATAATCTTCAGAAATATTTTCTGGTTTTCAGCACTGAGAGGCAAAGCATAGCGAGCACGAACTTAACCCTATCGCTGTTTACATATATTTTGCACCACCTTCACAGCCGTTCATTCACTCACTCGTTTATCATTTCATTCATCTGAGATGTTTTGCCGCTTTGCACAACTGAGTTCCAACACATGGCCATGAACGTGGCTGTACCGCCACGGGAGCCAGCGTTGCCTTATCGATGCAGCCTTCTCGATCCAGCGACATGCTGTGAATTCTCTGCACATAGTAAAATTGCCAAACATAATTCAGAGAGGGCATTTTATATTCTTTTGTTCACGGTTTGTCCTTCCATTAAATCAGCCAAATGTATCTTGGCTTCAGAATTGGAATATACGTCAAAGGTCAAGGATAGAGCCTCGCCATGCCGTACGGGTCGTGCGTGTTATTCGACCATACTTCAGCACGCTAGTCAGCGCGGGCTGTGAAGGCTGGCAACATAAACGTGAGAGCATAGAATCACAGTACTGTACAACAATATATAATTGCTCCACTACCCTATCCTGCCCACCACATAGCACAGCTTCTGAGCTTTCTATATCAACCTGGCATACAGATTAGTAATGTTTCCAAGAGATGGTCAGACCAGAGGTCACAAACGGGTTTTGATTCCTTACCCGTACCCGTACCCGGCCGCACCAGGGTCGCAAACGGCTACCCGTACCCGGCCGGGTACGGGTAGCCGGGTATCGGGTAGGGTACAGGTATCGGGTACCCGGTTGCGAACTCTGGGTCAGACTCTACTCTGCTTAGATTCTGAGATCTGATGCGATCGGACACATTCGGGGTGATTTGGTCATTGTCAGATTCGGTCAGTTGAACTCAGTGCGCTCTGTTTCGCTCCCTCTTGCTTACGGCACGAAATGCGTGCGTTGATAACGACCGCTACGATCTTGGATTCGCAACCGTCCCAGGGTTTGAGCGTGCTCACGATTTGAGCCGGGCTCATGATTAATAGCGATGGCCGAGTTGCCTGCCAGCCACGAGCACCACCATGAGTCACCCGCACTCAAAAGGCCGCACGAGTGTCGGCGCTGCTGCTGCTGCCGCCGCTGCCGCTCCTGCTGCTGCTGCCTCTATGGAGGCACGTTGACAGGCATGGCATGTTGACACGTTCTGTCCTCAAGATAAGATTTTTTATTCATTAATTATGCGAGTTGAAGGCACGGCTATAAATATTCCCATGCACGAAACCGTGACCTACAGCTTGCGAGTTGGCGGTCGTCTGTATTGTGTCTTGAAATAGTTCAGAGGCGCTTGTCATCCCTGATTTACATTTTGTACCAAAGCGTCTTTCTTGCGTATAATGTTTCTTCTTCTTCTCTCGTTTTGTTCATTTAAAGTTGGATAGTTGTACTCTTTGGGCCTAAGGGGCATGCATGAAATCTTACAATAATCACAAGTATGCATGCAGCCGTTTTGTCAATCCACTGCTGGATGAGAGCCACCACACTCTGTGCGAGTAGTGGGGTGGGGTTATTTTACCATACTTCACCACTCGAGTTGAGCGTGGGTTGTGAAGGCAGAGAGCAAAGATGTGGGGGGCGTATAAGTGGAGTAAAACAATGGATTTAGTTGCACTACCCTCTCTGCTGCCCGCCACATAGCCCCGGAGCCTATAACAACCTGTTTGCCCGTGATCTCCTATCCAAGCGCTATCCAGGCTCAAACCTGCTTAGATTCCAAGGTCCGATAAGATCGAGCGCATTCCAGGTGTGATGTGGTTAACTGCACCACAATCATACGGCATCTTGTGATGGAACCCTTTTTAAAGTATGCATACAATTTTTATTTTATACATTTCAAAAGCAAAGACAAAAAAGGCAATTCATTTCCACAGACTGTTCATCTGTTATACATGTGTAGCATTATCAGCATTTTAACAATTTATTTCGCCACATTTAGACACGCATTTCAAATCCGTGCACCGATATAACAGTTCCAAAAGTAATTATTGAAATAAATCCACTAATCTGCGCCGTAATTTAATTTAAAATAGTATTAATGTTAGCACGTGTCTACATTCACAGCAGCGTTGGCGCTATGCAAGTGCTTGTGGCCTGTATTAATATCAGTTGGCTTCATTGTTTAGACTGTGAACAACGTCCACTCAGTGTGACGTCGCCCACCCACCGCCATCTCGAGTGACTATTTGGGAAAATATGCCCTGCTTGGCTTGGCCCAGCACGGCATGATCATTTTTCCCATCCCAACAGCTGACAATAGCCACATTTTGGAAGACCCGTAACTGTTTGCTGCTGCCGTGCAAAGCCTGAGGGCACCGTGCACGCTGAGCAAAAAACTGACATGGGTCCGGCGGTGTGTGGACTCACGTCCATTCCTGTATCGCAGGCTATTCGTGGGGGTGCAGGGTAGGGGAGGGCGGTGTCGCGGTTACCGCGATGCGCTACGAACCCGGCGACTCGAGTTTCAAGTTTCATTTATTACGTATAGCCCTGTGAGCCATTCGGCTCTTGAATCGGGTGCAACCAGCAACAAACAAAAAAAACATGAACAAGAAAACATCTTAAAGTGACTATGTGCAAGCAGAAAATCCAAGAAAAAGACCCGAGTTCTATTCCCGCTGACGGCTAATACCAGTGACGATTATCTGAACTGGTCCTGGGCCTTCCCGAAAGTCGACTCAGATGAGTAGCTGGTGCAGCATGTAAACATAGCCTCTGTTGAGACAAAAGCGGCCGGGCGTGGTGGTGGCTACCCCACCCCCACGTCTACCATGCCAGCCGTCATAGAGTATCTTCTTGGTTCTTACGGTAAAGTCACGTAGAAGGGAAATAATAAAATAACGTAGAAGGGAAATAATAAAAGAATAAAAATAACACGTAATTAAAATATTTTATTATGTTTTATTTTTATTAATTCATTATTCCCCTTCTACGTGACTTTACCGAATGAACCAAGAAGATGAATCCCTGCAGTCACGAAAGAAGCTTTAAATCGAAAAGTCATGAAGTCTGTAAAGGCTATACGGGGGAACTTTGCCTTTGATAGGGGGGCACCATGGTCGCAGTGAAGTGAGTTTGACCATCCTGCCTTTTGGCTGGCAGTGTGAACTGTGTTTTGAGTTATATATCACTGGGCTTTGTTCCTTGGGTGTACGACATCTCTTTCAAAGTTTTCCGATGAAAATGTTGCGGCTTAAAATGGCAAATAAGGCTTACAACTTGAAGAATAACATGATGGATGAATTTATTTTTTTACAAGAGGCAATCGTTGATTTTTTTCCCTACAATATAAATCGAAACGTTAATTCGTATGGCGATCACAAAAATGAATTCTCAGCGATGCATTCATAGAAATTGAGTAACGCTTCTGAGTGAGGCTTTCAGGGTCGACAGCAGTACGCTGTGCATCCTGTGAGAATGACTAAGCCAAGGGAAAGTACTGACCGAATACAAACAAGCAACCTAATCTGTAAAAAACATTACAGACACAGCGAGACATAAATGAGCCCAAAATTCATCAATCTTAATACTTAAGGTGTATGAGCTGCTGTTGATTAAATTGCGTTAAGAATGCGCATTGCTTGCAGATAAACGTCCTTGGTATTAATTTCAACGTATCGCCTTAAGGAGGGCTTTAAACAATTTCGAAAGGATTATGGTGTCATTTTATGAACCGCAATGTTCTGAGCACCTGTTATTGTTGTGTACGCTTCATCAGAACAGCTGCTGGAGCGCTTTCACATCACCGCACCTATGACATTTGAACGCGCCCGCGCCTGGCGCTTATCTCCGCGACGCCGGCCACGCGCATCGCGTACCTGCATTCGCACAAGCGCCACGCTGGTGCCGCAAAATGAATGACTACAATGTGTGTTTTGTGATGCTCTATTTTCAGGGTCCTCCAGGTCCCCCTGGATCTCCTGGCCCCCCTGGGAGAAGAGGCCCACGGGTAAGTAGCTCGCTCAGACGCTCACGCGTGCGTGCGTGCGTGCGTGCACACACACACGCACGCATCCAAACATCCCTCGTTTGGCCCAAAGACTTCCAGGCCACATGCTGTTAGCGAGCAACTAATAGGACCGCCAGTGATACTGCAGGGTCATGTGACAAGCACCGCGCTCCCTTGGTTGCATTTGTCTCTCGATTTAAAGCTTTCGTGACTGCAGGGATTCATATTCTTGGTTCTTTTGGTAAAGTCACGTAGAAGGGAAATAATAAAATAACACAACCGCCACTTTTTTCAAAAAAATTATTGCTGTGGTTTTCACACCTGATGATGATTGCTTGTGTTGCAATCGAAATGTCGTGAGAATTTTATAGTTTTATTTTTATTATTTTATTATTTCCCTTCTACGTGACTTTACCGAAAGAACCAAGAATATGCATTTGTTTCCTCGGCGCTGATGCTCATTCACTGCATCAAGTACTCATTGTGGGCTACGTTGACTCGAGGCAGGTTTAAATTCCACTTGCCATGAATGTTGTGCAAACCTGAAATTGTACTCTGGGTCCAGGCATGGTAGCACAGTACGTATACAGGCCACTATGAAAGAGCTGTCCACAAAGACAACGATCCAACGTTGAGCCTTATAGACTCTTGAGGCATGTGCTGTTAGTGAGTACCTATTACGGCCACCATAGTTCCTGAGGGAGTGGTATGGCCAGCACTATGGCCAGCAGTTCTAGCTTGCTGACGTTCATATATCACACCAGGTGCGCATTTAAGGCTGAGTTTACCCGGTGGAAGCCCAGGATGAGTGTGACCAGGAATCAAACTCAAACAGCAGTGTTCGTTACTCCGTACGCTAACCGCCGAGCCACCACTATCCGCACACAAAATGACAAAGTTCCCCCAAGAAGTGTGCGGCTGTTGGGGCAAGTGCTGTTAGCAAACTCTTATGAAGACGCACACACACGTATGCATTCACACATATGGACACTGCTGTCAGGCATAGTGGGTGGTTTGTCGCAGCAGGTACAGCCGCGCTGTAGGGTCGTGGTTCTCAACCTTTGTGGGTGGCTACTGCTGTAATCCCCTTGTTGAATTTTTATTCAACCGAGTAGCCAACCCCCCCCCCCCCCCCCCCCCCCCCCCGCTTTCCTGACTCAACATGGTTCTGAGAAACAAATGTATGAATAATGAACGTCAATGTTTTAACCAATTTATCATTTTGTGAGGTTATCCTCACTAGCTAAGTAACTGCAAGTGTAACGTAATTCATTCGCACTCGCTGGTTACTCTTGAGTTTAGAAAGGTCTTTTATAACCAGTTTATAAAGGTATTTTATAATGTTCTAGATTACCATATGGATTTAAAATGTATCGTAGTTATTTTATATTTGCAGATTCATACATGATGATTTACCAATGACAGTCATGTATGGTATAATTTCACACATTTATAAATCACCTCACGTGCCCCGTGGGACATTGCCACGTGACCCCCGTGACCCTTGGTTGAAAACCACTGCTGTGATGTGACCCGGGTGGCAGTCAGTGGGTCAACGTGGTCGACTGTGGCGCATGAGGCCATTGGTGCTACACCACCTTGCACGCTTTGCACCGTGTTATCCTCCACGCCGGTGGTATTGTAATAGGTCAGTCAATGTGTTGTTCAGCCTTTCAATTGTCCTCCTGTAGGTGGGCGTGTGTGCAGTCACTTCTACTTGCGGTTACTAACCAAAATTTACACAAACCCAGACGATGGATATGGATTCAATGTATGATGACGCCATTGGAACTTGTGATCTGAATCTGGCCTGGACCTCGCCTAGATTGACTTGGCCTTTAAAAGAGGAACGGGGTCAATGTAAGCGGGGGGACGGGGGGGGGGGCAATGGTGGCTGGGCGTGGTGCTGGCCCCAGCACTGATCTTGTCAGCCTTAATCGAGTGCCACCACCATAGCAGCACATGTCCCAACGGCGTTTCTGTGCCAAGAATTGGAGTTTTTTTGCATTTGTGTCTAGTGTTTTTTTACTTAACTCATCAAATTGCTGTTTCAATGATTTTGTACGTAAAATAGCATTTAAATATTCATGGCATTTTACTGATCCCAACATAATTTAACGCGCGCAAACTCTAGACGTTTTTCAACGTTCAGTGTCCAATCGGCAGCGTCCCAGGCTTGCTGAAACCAATGCTTTGGTGAATTTGCCAATGTTCAATGGCAAGGGCCCTTTCTGTTTAAAATGGGTCACAGTTTAACGTGAAACTATACAATATATAACACGAAATATTACATAACACAAAATAATAGTTGAGCGTTGTTGTGGAGAATACACTTAACGAAATAAATAAGCATAAATTATGCCTGCTTTCCATATTTATCTCTTCAGATTTAAAAAAACATACTATTGTTTTACACGTGAAAAGGAAGTTGTATGTCTGCTTTTTTATTATTTTCCCCACAATGACTCATTTCTTTTACGTGTTACACAAAATAACAGGTTTAATTTTTACACTAAGTCTGGCAGAAATAGATTAAGAAAAATATACGAGGTATGGTTTGGATTTCTTATTTAGAATTAACTGAAAATAAAATAGAACATATTGGTTGGCTTTGTTATATGAACTGTGAGGATTGAACGCAGATATTCAAGCAAAAACAAGAGTAATACTTTTTGTAACCAAAAGAAATGTTCTGTTAGACCACATGATGGTGAGACCAGACATTGTGGTCTGCTGTCTGCTGTGTGTGTGGCATCATGATAATGACATGAAAATCTGCAAACAATCATATGCAAGCATTCGTGATCACTAAAGTTTGTTTTTATAATCCTATGTAACTTTGAATTCACATTTTTGGAGCTTTGTTTAAAGAAAACACAACCCCCCCCAAAAAATAATAATTCCATTTTCTTTTAGCTCCACTCCTAGATTATACGTCCCTTGCCATTCAAGTTGCAAGATTTGTTAACAAGAAAAAAACCCTTTAAAGTCATGTTCGTGAGCATTCTAGTTACATCTCTGCAATGCTATACCTATACTTGTCATTACATCACTTGGGTGCCCTCACCTAGAGCACTGAGTGATTTATATTAACGAAGCTTTGCACTCGTGCAACACAACCCCAGTCATCTTCTTGGTTCTTTCGGTAAAGTCACGTAGAAGGGAAATAATAAAATAATAAAAATTAAACATAATAAAATAATTCTCACGACGTTTCGGCCACAACGCAAGCAGCTGTCCTCAGGTGAAGAACAGGGCTGTCGGGGAGACAGCGTCTGAATGAAACACCACCAGGCTTGGAGCGTATATTTAAGCTGGGTTGGAGGGGGAAGAGCGCCTTGACGAAATAATTTGCATATCAAGAGAAATTTAGCATATTTATGGGAAATGCAGATATGGGATTAGTCATTACTTGTGGAACGCATTATTTGTATTATTTTATTATTTCCCTTCTACGTGACTTTACCAAAAGAACCAAGAAGATGAATCCCTGCAGTCACGAAAGCTTTAAATCGAAATACAATCCCAGTCCTCAGCCTAGATGTGTATACGTCTTCTTTCGTTTCCTCTTGTGCATATCTCACGTAAACTTTCATTTTGCACATGGGTTTTATTCTGTGCAGTCATTGGTAAATGGCCACGTTCTCCAGTGTTTGCGCAGTCATTTCATCGGACCTCGGTAGCCGTGCAGGATTGAACCTCGTTAATACTTGGAATTTACTCTTGGTTTTTTCGGTAAAGTCACGTAGGTAAAAAATGAAATTAAAATTAATAAAAATTAAATAATAAATATCACAACGTTTCGGAGGCAACACAAGTCTCCATTATCAGGTGGGACCGTCACAGATAAATTTGCTGTATCACTTGATACAGCTAAATTTTCTGTATCACTTGATACAGCTAAATTTTCTGTATCACTTGATACAGCTAAATTTTCTGTATCACTTGATACAGCAAATTTAGCTGTGATGGTCCCACCTGATAACGGAGACTTGTGTTGCCTCCGAAACGTTGTGATTTGTATTATGTTATTTTTATTAATTTTAATTTCATTTTTTACCTACGTGACTTTACCGAAAAAACTCAAGAGTATGAATCCTTGCAGTCACGAAAGCTTCAAATCTAGAAATACTTGGAATGCAAAGCAGGCGTCGGCTCAGCGCTGACATGGATACAGCGTTAGCCCCCGAGGACACCCGGCCACCTCGCACTTAAAAGTTATGATGACTTGAGATGGCCACGTGGCCCGAGGGTCAAAACACTGACCAAGTACCGCTGACGTCCCTTCTGTTGCAGGCAGCAACCCACAATTAAAGCAGCTTTTCAAGTGTCGTGAGTTTGTGTCTGCGTATCTATGCACGTCGAACTTCTTTCGCACCGCACGTAGCCAACCGTGCTGAATCAGAGGTGTGGGGGAAGGACAACAACCTGAGCACAGAAAGCAGCAGTTCTAAAGACAAGGGCCTCATCCTCATCACCAGTGGCTGCACGCATTTAAAAAAAAATATTCCTTACTTCGTTTGGATAAATTGCAACTTTGAGAAGTGAAACATTGAGTTTGTTTGGTGTGCGACAAATACTTTCTTCAGGGTTTTAAAATGGTGTGCCGCTAAAATGTGCATAAAATTGGTCTTTTGAGGTGCTTTAACATTTGTTATTTGACTTCATCTTCAGGCGTCATTCTCTAACACAGCGTGATGCACTGCTAGCTGTGAAAGTTCCAATGGGAATTAAATTATACCTAGTAGAGTGCAATCATCATATATTTGCTAAGAAACCGAGAAAAAGAAAACAATTAAAAATTATGAACAAAAATTCGTGTCAATCACGCTTTAGGTGAATTGTTACAGACACTTCTACACAGAGATGGTATTTATACACACTCTATAATTAGGAACCTTGTAATATATAGATGGGCTGGATCACATTGTGTCTATATCTGGACTCCAAAATGGGCTGAGGGTGGAAGTAATTAATTCGTGGAAAGTTAAACAGAACCT